CTTTTAAAAAATCCATTTTATTTATTTATATGTGTGTGTGTGTGTGTGTGTGTGTATATATGATTATTGTCAAATTTTTATAGGACCTCTGAGCATCTGAGCATATAATTGAATTATATTTTTGTTTGAAGAAGATTATTGTTGCACTTTTCTTCTATATACATTAAACGACTGTTTTATCACAATGAAGTCATCTTCATAATGTAATCAAAGGACTAATCCAGTTCTGTATTTTGTAATAACAATGATGTTTAAATTACAGTGTTGGTTTCTATTTTTGTAGCTGGAAAATAAGCGTGATGCTTTCTTCCCACCTTTACACCAATTTTGTACAAATCCGAACAATCCTGTTACTGTAATACGTGGCCTTGCTGGAGCTCTTAAATTAGGTATGTTTAATATATAAAAAATTACATTTGGGAAGGAGAAAGGAAGAATTTTATTTTATTTTTATTAATATTTGCTAAATAAAAATTTATGAATGTTATTAGATTTTAAAATAGCATTTGCTTTAGTTGGAAAAAATGTAATATTTGTTGTAATCTCTGTTGGTAATGTCTGTAACTTTAGTTTCTGTATTGTCTTGTGCTATATCAGCAGTGTATTAGGAGAGCTTTTTATTTTTATTAAGCATATTCCTGTTTCCTAGATCTAGGACTCTTCTCTACCAAAACTTTGGTAGAAGCTAATAATGAACACTTAGTTGAAGTAAGGACACAGTTATTGCAACCATCAGATGAAAACTGGGATCCTACTGGAACAAAAAAAACATGGCATTGTGAAAGCAGTAAATCTCAGTCTACAATTGCTAAATATGCACAATACCAGGCCTCCTCATTCCAGGAATCCTTAAGGGTAGGTATACTATTATCATTTCTGTATTGATTGAAACTTATAATGTTTTTGTGGTTGAAGATTTTATATAGTTTAACTCTAATTATTTATATAATTTAACTCTAGAAAAATAATAGGATACAGAAGTATATAATATTTAAGCAAAATAAAGAACACACCATTTATTTTTATTTTTATTTTTATCTTTATTTATATATAAAATATATAGTATTTTGTTTTTGGGTAGTTGCTGATCTCTGGGTTTGGTATGGGATGGCAGCAAGAGCAGGCAGAAAACCTTTGAGTGGGACTGGCCTGTTTTGCAGCTGCCATCAGACTGGCCAGACAGAACAGCAGCCATTTTGTTAGCTTCATCTTTTCTGCCAGTTGCATACATCTTGCCAGCCTGCTGCAGCAATTACATAAATGGAGTCCTATTACATCTAATGTTTGGATCCCTCTCTCCCTTGACATTTGGAAGTTTGTGACTTTGTCTGACAATGTTTTTGTTGAGAGTTATTTGGGGGGGGGGGTTGTCTCAGGGCTACTGTTATTGTTTTCCCTTGTGTAGAGAGGGGTTGCAAAGATGGATCCTGTGTTACCCTTGTCTTGTAGCTTATAGCTCTTCTATCCCACCCAGGTGAGAGTGGACAGGTTGTGTAGAGTGATTTATTGCTTGATGTGTGTAGCTGAAGGAAAGAGAGGTGAGATAGCCTAAGCTAAGGGATGCTCATTGCAAGGCAGAAGGCTCCCCAAGGCTGGTGTCAGCCTTTTGAAGATGTGTTTACTAGGTGGGTTAGAATGTTAGGATCCTCTAGCTTGGGGGTGGAGCAGCTTTGGATGGGGGAGTCTGGGGTGATCAGAGGGGAAGATGCAGGCAAGCGTGGTGACAGGCAGAGGGAGATATGGTAGGAGATGGAGAGCAGGCAAGTCTCAGGAAAGGTGGCCTCAATGTTTAATATCGATGTTGCCTTCCAGTCCACCATGCTCTGCCCCAAAGCCTGGTAATCACCCTGGCTTCCAGTTGCTGCTACTTAATACAGGGTCAGCCTGTAATAAGGCTTGCATCATCCACAATTTAATTTAATTGTGGATGAGAGGGCTGACCTTGTTTGCACTACCAAAATCGCTGTGCTCAGAACCAAGGAGAGTCCCATGGTTTCAGGTGATGAAATGGCATAAGAGACAACCAGAATGCCACTGGAGGAAAACAAAGAGTGAATCCAAACAAGCATGAGTAAGAACCTTCCTTAAAGATTACTTGTGGTGATAAGGGCAACAAAATCTAGTCATTTCTCCACCCTTATTGCATCCACAGAAAGACAGCCAGTGGCCCTGTTTAAAATGACCTGGTCCCTTCTTTGGAAGAAGGAGTCACAGGAACTCTTGCAGAGCTGCTGTGAAGATTATTGTAGCACCTGTTGGATAACGTTGCTTGGATTTGCTTGGAGGTGGAATTCAGCTGTATAGGTCCTAAGAAGTTGCCTGAGGCATGGTCTTGCTTGGTTATCTAGGAAGAATTTGAACCTGTTGGCCCTCATGAAGTGGAGCTGTGAGCTTGGCCACCTGTATTTTAAATCCCTATTCTTCCTGGTTAATTAAGGTCTGCTGGGAGATGGCAGGTGTTGGGTCCATGTGGTGGTGAATGGTTCTCCATGAGAGGGGGCTGTTCCATCTGCCTTGAAGGAGGTGGTTGTCTACTGCCTCCTTAAGAGATCATCACTGGACTTTGATCATGGTATCCTTCTGGGTCAGCTCAGGGTTATGAATGGAAGTGCACCATGTTACAGTGGTTCTCCTCCTTTCCTTGGGGTTGGGTCCAGCCATTGATGGTCAGAAGGGAGAGGCTGAGTCTGAGGCCCCTGCTTGGCACCGTTTCCCTAATCTTATTTAGCATTTACATGAAACCATTGGGTGAAGTCATCCACTGGCATAGGGTGCAGTATCATCAGTATGCTGATGATTATTGTTGTACATCTCCATCACTTGGGCCAACCATGTGATGCTTCTCAGTGCCTGGAGGCTGTGAGGGTTTGGATGGGGGAGAACAGGCTTTGTCTGAACCCTGGCAAGACTGAATGGCTGTGGGTTGTAACCATCACCACTACCCGGTTCTAGGGATTTTTCATCTTTAACTCTGCATGGGAGGCACTTCCCTATCCAGACTTGGTGTGCAATATGGGAGTCCTGCTGGACTCACAGCTCCTGCTCAGAAAACAGGTAGCAGATGTGGCCAGGGGGACTTTTGCACAAGTCTGTCTTGTGCACCAGTTGCGCCCATTCCTGGACCAGGAAGGCCAGGTTACTTGCAGGGCTGCCTTTATGCCATTGTTTCTGCTCACCCCACCAGATCAAGTAGAGAGGGAATGCTCTGGGTTCCTTCTATCAAACAGTGTCACCTTGTTGGACTCGAGTCATCCCTTCTCAGTGGCAGCAATTGTCCCATGAAATAGCATCCCACTGGAGATTCAGATGGCCTCTATCCTGTTAGCCTTTTGTAAGGTGCTGAAAGGCTGGCTGTTTATCCAGGCATTTGGGTCAGGTGGTTAGGTGAACTCTGCTGTTGTTAATGTCCTTTTGCCCAATGAGTTGGGTTATTGTTTATCCTCGGGCACCTGGGGTTATATGTCGTGTGTGTGTGTGTTTAATCCTTGTACACCTCCCATATTCACTTGGGTAAGGTGTGCGGCTATATAAATCAAAAAAATAAATAATCGATCAGTAGGTATCAAAATCTTGACAGTACTTGGTTGGGCTAATCAGGGATACAAATGCCAAAAATGATGGGGGTAAAAGGATTTTTATTGAAGATTTCTACTTTCTAATTATGAAATGAAGCATTTCTGATTCTGAGGAGCAAAATGAAAGTTACAATTATCATAAAATGCAAAGCAGTCATGTGCCAATTGGAACTTGTAATGGTTCATAACAGAAGCCCTGTTCTTGTGAGGCAAAGAATTTAGAGAAAGGTACAGTATCTTTACTGTATTCCAGTCAAATAAAAAATAATTGTGGAGGAGCTGTGAGTCCAGGAGGACCTCCGTATTGCACACACACATAAACACATATAGTTATATATGTATAATTATATATATGTGTAAATATATACACACACAATTATATCCACACAGTTGTGTGTGTATGTGTATACATATGCATACACATTTATATATAATTGTAATATATATCTTTATAACCTTTATAACATCACTGTTGATGTTTTCAAGAACAGATACCAACAGTGAGGTTAGAAAAAGATATAATTTAATTAACTTAAAGGATAATTACAATGAAAGCTAATCTTTCATGACAAGAGTTAATGGACAGAAGATAAGGTATTGATTGTGGCAGTAGAAATCAGTTGAATAGGTTTATCTTAAAAATATTTGTAGGTATTTCACACCGTTCAGATACTGTATATTTATGGTAGATTATAAAAACTATATTTGACATCTGCAGGAGGAAAACGAGAAAAAGAGTCATCATAAGGACCATTCAGATAGTGAATCAACATCTTCTGATAAGTGAGTATATAGAACGTTTTACCCTGTTTAATATTGTTTCTTCCTCCTGTCATACTAACTTCCTTTATACATTCTGTTTCTTCTGTGCGTGATTAATTGTTGCTAAAACTTATGCAGGTACATTCAAGCATATAAAATAGTTTTCATGTTGCTGGAGTCATGTAGAAGGAAAATATCAGTGAAATAGCTTGGATAGGCATTGCCTCATAAATGTTTTAAAGCTGGTTAAAGTCAGGAAAAACCATTTTTGAGCCTTAAAAAAATAATCTCTGGAATTTCACAGTTAAATAAGCTTCCAAAGTTAAATTACATGTTATCATATATTGATTAAACAGAAAATAATTAGATCAGAATTATAAAAATATTCATCTGTTAATATTCTAGAGTCATCTATTATTAATTAATATTCCACATTTTATAACATGAAGAGTTTAAGAATGCAGCTTCTTGCTGAGTGTTGTATAAAGAGAAAGGCAGGATATAAAATAAATACATTTTACATAGCCCTATAATTGCGCTCACTATAGCATTAAATATAAAAGATATTGTTATGGTCAGTTTTGAGTTAAATGTATTTCTATTTAAACAGGTAAAATATGATTTATATATATGTGGGTGAATTTTAGAAATTCATATGCATACTGTTTAAATGCAAAACCAATTGGAATTAAATCTTTGAAGGTATTGATTTGAAGGTATTAATTATAGGAGACGGTCAGTTGATTACAGGAGACAATCAATTTTGTTTCAAAATTATAATGCTAGCATTTTGAAAGAAAGCAAACCTTGTATCCCATATTACAAAATGTTAATTTTTTTAAAAATCTGTAAAAATGACGGTGGAGATGATGCGGTGAACAGAACTTCAAGGACTGGTTGTAAGTACCACTCATTCAGCGCCATTGTAAGTTCGAATGGTTGCTGAATGAGTGGTCATTATGCAAGGACCACCCGTATTGTATCTCCCCTTAGATTTCTCCTGTGTAGGCTAAATATTCCCACTACCATGAATCTCTCTTGGCCAGATTTAATTCCTGTTCTCATTGCCATCTTTGTTTGCCTTCTCTGAACCTGTTTCAGTACGTTTTAAAGTGTTGTCTGACCTATAGAGAATAAAGTAAAACTGTTACTTCCCACTGATCTCCAATAGGATTATCAGTTCATTAAAAGTTGGTGAACCCTTTTGAATTTTCAATATTAATGCATAAATATGATCTGTTCTCCACACAAGTCCTAGAACTAGATAAAGAGAACCCAATTAAACAAATAAGTAAAAAACTTTATACTTGTTCATTTATTTATTGAGGGAAATGATCCAAAGCTAATATTTGTGTGTGGCAAAAGTATGTGAACCAATAGTATTATCACTTCATTTGAAAGGGAAAGTAGAGTCAGGTGTTTCAGTCAATGGGATGATAATCAGATGTGAGCTGGGTATTCACTATCAAAGTCTGATCTTTGGACAGGTATGTGGAAGTGTGTCATGGTTCAAAGAAAGGATATTTCTGAAGACCTCCAAAAAAACAGTTGTTGATGCTCACCAGGCTGGAAAAGGTTACAAAACTATTTCCAAAGAGTT